GACTCAGCATGTGCATACCATGTGTGCTTGGCTCAGAGTTGGGTGTGGGTCTAACCTAGTAGGTTGGGGTCATATCTTACAGGGCCATTTTGACGATTTTGCTGTTGTCCTGACCACTGAAGGGTGCTGGGCAGGAGGGTGACATGGTTAAGTTTGTGTTTTGATGAGTCTTCCGGGCGAGGTGGGGTGATGGGGAGAGGATGGACAGAGGGAAGAGGCAGAAGCTGGGAGACTAGTATGTGGGGAATGGGAGGTGCCTAGACAAGTAGAGAAAAAGTGAGGCCCAGCTTAAGGCAGGGCAATGGTGGGGACAGCCGAGGGTGAAAGAAGGTTCTCGTCTTGTCCTGACTCAACAAGGTCTGGGAAGTGTCTGTGTCCAGGAACAATGCTGAGTGGCACCAGCTCCCACACACGGCCTGGCAGAGAGTAGGAACTCCCTTGGTGTTGGTGGGTGACCAGTAACAGACCTTTGCCCACCCACGGTTCTTGGCTTCATGTCGGCACGCCATATCCCAGGGAGCTTTCAGAGAAGGATGGCCAGAGATGGGTGTGGGGTATTGTGACCAGGCTGGAACACCAGCTCTGGGGGGTTTTCGTACAGTTGAACTTGAAGGGCGGGAGGTGAGTGGCGCTGATCTCTGGGGGCGAGCCCTGACTCTGGCCTTCATTTGTTTCCAATGTCCCAGCCAGAAGTCAGGGTAAAATGGGAGGTTTTCTGAGACCTCTTGAACATTGCAGGTCAGCCCCCCTTGCCTTAGCTGGTGCCCCATGTAACCCTGGTGGTGCCAACAGACAGAAAAGGACAGACAGACTAAGAGTTGCTGTACAAGGTCTTTTCTTTGTTGTCATGGTTGGTTTGGTACATCTTAGCATCTGCGTCATACAAAGGGGGGAGCAACAGCCATGGCTTTTGGTCAGGTTCAGGGGGCATGAGGGGGTGCCCCTCCCCTCCCCCCAGGCACTGACACATTTAAAGAAAGCAGAGCAACAAGGACACAGCACAGATGTGGGAAAGGGATTCCCCCGCGAGAGCAGGATGGTCATCCTCACCTGGGTCTCACTAGGACCCCCACCCCCATCCCAGGGCCAGTGGGAGCACCTTCCAACCTCTCCCCAGTGAAGAAGGTGGGCAGCAGGAGCAGGGAGGGGAGTAGGGGACATGTGGAGGAAGGCATATCTTCAGGCATACCCTTATCTGAGCCATCTGATCCCCAGCTGCCTGTCCAGTCAAGGGCCTATGAGGCCCTCGAGGGATGGAGCAGTTGGGCAGTGGGTGGGGGGGCAACCCTGCCATCTAGGGGCAGGACTCTCAGGACTGGGGCTCTAGCCATAGCCTGGTGGGGGTAGCTTCTTTCCTCATCAGGCCACCTGAGAGGGGCCTGGGCTGCTGAAATACTTCAGTTCACTATCTCTCCCCTTCTCTGTCTCTCTTCCCTCTGTGCCCTCCCTCCCTCTCTCTCTCCCTTTCTGTCTTGTCTCCATCTCTCTCTCTCTCTCTCTCTCTTTCTCTCTCTCTCTCTCTCACACACACACACACACACACACACACACACACACACACACAC